CAGCAGTTCTGCGACACTCAGCAGAATGTACTGGGGACCCAGCGACCGGGATCAACTCAACAGGATCTCTCAAATGAAGCAGGCAACAAAGTCGAGTCACCGGACTGCTGCGACATCTGCGGATTCCGCCCCAAAGGGCATCCCAAGTGGTTCAAAGGCACTCTGACGAAGCACAAGAAGCTGCAGCACAAAACGACGCCTCCTACAATCTATCGATGTCCATTCCCAGGCTGCACGAGCCAGTATAAAAACCGACCTGACAATCTGAGGCAGCATCAGCTCGACAAAAGTCATTTTGTCGACGGCGAAGGGGTCCGCAGGCCCAGCAAAAGGAAGAAAGTTGACGACAGCGAATGATTGAGGACGTTTGTCCCTGAGTTAGGTCGATGAAGATGTCATATGCTTAGGTGGCTTGGACATAATGCGAACACGGTCGGGCGTTTGATGGGGGAGCAGTTTACGCACTATGATACCACATGATTTGATCTAATAAGCCAGCTAGGATGAACACGTTGTTCATCATACACACCATTCTCCTGCTCTCATCTTTTTGATGCGACAGTCGTGTCAAGTATGCCGCACTCGCGACCACGCGTCGTCATCACACATGGCTGATGTTATGAGTTGTAATGCGAGAACTGAACAGTGCCTGAGGGATTTGAGACGCTCATCTTGGCCGTGTGTGGACGGCATGCCATTTTCTGATTTCTGAGAGGTGGCCGAGGAGCTTATGGACAGCCAACAGGCCAGGGCATCTGACGGGTTTCATTATTCCACTATCGGGGGATGCCACTAGGGATGACAGAAATGCCCAACCGAATCGTGAAGGTCTTCCCGTAGATCAGAGCGTGTTTCTCTGGCCAGTGGTTTAGAAAACCTAAAATCGCCGCTTACCGACGTACTTGCACTCTTGTCTCTGTTGACACCTGAATGTTGTCGTCGCGATCAAGCTTTCTCTGATCAAAGTACATATCATTACAGCGGGGCGATCGTTGTGGGACTGTCATCGAGCCGGGTCATCCCGCACAGTACCGAAGTGCGTGCACCTACAAGGAGTGCCTGTAACAACAAGCAATACCCTGTCTTCTGGACCGACCCCCCACGTCTCCGAAGCGCATCGTGATAGACCTGCGCCTCGAGCAGTCTTCAACCGATGTCTGTTTTGAAGCATCAGTCTTTTTCTAAGTTCACAACTGTTGGTAGCGTTATACGTGCCAACTTTTTGCTTGTCCTCACTCGCAGCATACAGCCCCCGATTTGGCGTCCAAAGATAGAATAACCCAGCCACGCCCCGCTGCCGCGAATTCCGACGCGCTTCCAGCGATGGATGATGTCACTTGTGTCAGAGGAGAGTCACGTGACTCACTGCAGCTCCCTTCCTCTTCGTCCTATCCAGATGGTCCTGTTGGCAGCAGCGCGCGCTGGGGTCCACTTTTGATGGGCGCTACGTTCAGTACGCTTATGCTTCTCTCCTAACAAGTAGGTAGGCAGCA